GCCAATCATCCGAGCGCCTTCGATGAGCGGCGCCATTTAAGCCTTAAATTAAGTCCTCTGGGCCCTGTTTAACGGGCCACGGACCACAGAGTAACACGTGTAAACAAAGTGGACAATATCGAGCTTCTTCCTCCGGAAAAATCGCCAACACACTCGAGGCGTCTACTCCAAGTTACGCTGTTTTAACCTGATACGACGAAGCTGATACAGAGAGTCTTCGGTCATTGCTCCGGCCGAATGGACCACTAGACAAGGTACGAATTTAAGCAATCTGATACAAGTTTCTTAACCAGAATTTCACGTAAAACACGATTCACACAACGAAAATTACTGAAACCAACTCCTAACGAAGATATTAATGTTTTTATTTCACATTGGTTACGAGGAGACTGTCAGGATAACGTTTAGCGCGCGATGTGAATCACGTAGAGCATTAAGTTTTCATGAGCGGGTGGTTTGAATTCACGCATCAAGAATCATTAAATATCTTCGTAAGGAGTTAATGGTGGTAATTTTTGTTGTGCTCGTCGTGTTCTACGTGAAATTTCAGTTACGATACACGTATCAGAATGCTGAAATTCGTACCTTGTCTAGTGGTCCATTACGACCCCTCAGGTCTTCTACAATTAAAATAGAGGATCACAGTAGACTACTGGATAATATACGAATTTGGATGTACGTTTTCTCTTTAAAATAACGCAAAACACGATTCCGATTCGCGCGACAAAAATTACTCAAATCAGCTTCTAATCAAGACACTAACGTTTTAGTTTTTACCATATGTTACGAAAAATTTGAATTTACCGCTCACAAGAGAGAGGAGTCTACGTGAATCAACTCGCGCACTGAACCTGTTCTGGCAGGCCCTTCAATCGGGTCCCTTCCCCGCCCTGTCATGGTCCTACTTTGGAAAAAGAGACACATTGGATCTAGAGTCCAGATTCTTGAAAACATTGAAAAGAAAAAATACTCTTGATTCAATCGGATTTTTGCTTGAATCAAAACGAAATCCGCTTAAATTAAGAGGCTTGGTTTTTGATTTACGCTAGATTCTGATTGAATCAATAGTACTTTTTCTTGTCTATGTTTTTAAGAGTCTGGAATGTAGATCCAATGTGTTTTCTTTCCAGAGTAGTGTAAAAAACTAACAACAGCTGAGCCGAAGCGCCGAGATAGGGGCTGTCATATTTTATGCCGCAGAAACTTATCACGATAACGTTTAGACGGTGATATAACTCAAGTAGATTAGTTTTTTTTCTTAAGACCCTGGCGGTGTAACGACGAGGCTCTCATCCTTCGTTGATTACTAAAATTGAGGGGATTGGAGGACAAGGCGCGTAAAGGCAGTTTTTGAAAAAATTCAAATATTAATGATGTCAAGAAAAACTAGTCTTGATGCATATTCTGTGTAAAATTCGCTCCCAAATTTCAAAGTTAAGGCATCAAAAAGTCAGTTTGATCTTACTTTCCGCAATAAGGACCCATGTAATTTCTAAACTTCGAACACGAAATCGAAATAGCAAACACTGCACTTATGCGCCTTGTCCTCCAAGTCCCTCAGTTCAATTCAATGAAACCGCCGATTTCAGCGGGTGATTGATAGAGATTTCCAGCATAAGGCCACTAATATCTCTCATTTGAATGAGAATGAGAGCCAGCATTTTCAGAACAGGCACTCGTCTACTGAGGAGAGAAGCTACGTGCATAAATTGAAGGATTGAGGATAGGCGAGAGATCGAAAGATAAAAAAGAACCAATAAAACCTCGGTTTGATCCGAATCAAAAAACTTAAAAGAACCACCTTCTATAGTCAAAAAGCCACGAAGGAGAAAGATACGCGATCCACCGCGTCGGAAAGAAGACTGGTACCTAGTTTCCTACTTTCAACATAAAAATGGTCTTTAATCGTACTCAAAGATAGCAATAAGCCAATTTGATAGAGTATAAAATTTCTTATCGAGAACATTTGCATTTTATGCTCTGGCGTCTCCCGCTTGGTGGTAAATAAATCTTTTTTATCTCGACTGAAGCGTTTTTTGCCGTTGCCAGAGTTACTTACCCCGTCACTCATCGAAATCTTCAAAGCATTCGTAGTAGCACAGCCCTTACCATTCATCATAACAGTCAAGGGCGTATGGTCAGTAGTTTCTAATGATGGAGGCTAAAATCTGGTAAAAATTTCTTGAAATTGTCTTTTTTTGTGAGACTTTTAAGGATTATTGAAAAGTGAGAGCGATAGGAAAAGGGGAAATAGAGAAAGAGTAGGGGTAAAGGTTTAGGCTCTATGTATTGCCTCTCATTCATAACACCCCTGCGTGTAATACAGTGATACAACTATTCCTACCCAATGGATGTCCGTGTAGCATACACGACGAGTTGAAGGAGTTTGTGGTACTTGCACCGAGGTAAAAATGCAAGTAGTGAGCGCATAGCATCTTCCAAAGTTAAGTACCAGCGAAATGTTTACCGCTTAGTTAGAAGAAAAATTTTAAAAAAATGGAAGAAGGGAGTGACAAGGGCTTGACGCTTCACTTTCTCCTTCGTTTTCTACCCGTTGATCATGTGAATGCGGCATAGCGCCAGCGAATTGTGGAGCCCCTTCATTTTTCGAACATGCAACATGGAGATTCATAGAGCGCAAATAGTTGCATCGAAAAATTACCACCATCTTCGCGACCTAAAATGGCTCAAAGCAGGACTCCACATTGATTCATAATAAAGTAATTACTATAATTATGCACATATTTAATGTTATTAATTTCGTAGTCTTAAATAATTATTTTCTTATTTCCCATCCCAACGAAAAAGAATGCCCCAAACTGAAGTGACAAAATCTTGACTCCTGCTAGGCTGAAAGTTAGGGCACTCTACAAACTTAGGAGTTACTTCACAAAGTCCTTTACTATTATCGGTTGAGTGACATGCCACTTTTTGCTAATCAAAAGATTCTAAGAGGGCCATTTAAGTATCATATAACCTCTTTAAATTTACTCAAGAGTTCTGGTTCATCCATAAAAGCCTCTATCTGTATAGGGAAGCTAATTGAACTTGCATATCTTCTGGTTGGCATTAACGGTACTTAAAGATTAAATGTATGCTGCAGTGCAGTGCGTAGAGGGAGAAAAAGTAAATTCGTTTTAAAAGTAAAGGACTTATCAATTTTGACATTTAGGGTTTAAGGAAGTAATTTGAATGTTCATGGCAACCTTAATGCATTTATAGTCTGATCTACCTGTCTGCGGTTAAATCAACTCTTCTGTTTTCCTTCTCTAAAAATAAGTGCCTAGGCTACAAGGCTTGAAGGAACTTAAGAATGACCTAAGAAAAACTTACTCCATCCTATTTTCAATCGTTGAAGGATAGACATGAATTTGCGATACCTCGGGCATAGGAATCAACCGATCCGAAGGCCAGCCCCTGCTAGACACTATTCAATAGATTAGACTCTGAATCTGGCTGAGCCCTTCCATGGTCTTATTTCTAGTCAAAAGTATTTCATCTCTCATTGTGAAAACCCTCTTTAAGGTAACTCACAATCACTAATCAGAGTCCTTATAAAGAAACTGATGAGATGCTGACATCTGGAGTACCTAGGTTAACCTCAACATGACAAGTGAATCCCTGGGAATAAATAAACAATACATTTATGAACGACCAAAATGAAAGGTTTAAAACTTCTAGGACTTTTGGAGTCTCGATAATTTCGAACGGTAAAGTGTTAATGAAACTACGAGGAGAAAAAACTAAACTCTTAGTGACAACTTACAGATATTTTAAGAGCTCACTTGTCGTGTCGACTTGCGGACACGTGGAGATTGAACGGGGGACACTGAATTGAATATTCTTTGAAGGGACGTGGTTTGGATTGGACACTAAATACTAATTCGCACTTGTACAGAAAATCAAGAACCTCGAGCAACTTTGAATATTCAAAAGACTTGCTCACAACACGCACGAGAGAATGAAGAACAACGTTTGTTTACTAACTGATAACACGAATGTAAACAAGTCGAGACTCCCACTCCCATTGGTTCCCGCCAATTTTTTGCCGCGCTCGGCAAAATATACAAATTGACGCGCCATTTTTCAAATTAGCGGGGACTACTCTAGTTGTGCGCATCCTGAAAATGCACCCGCACCTAGCTTATTTCTCGGTTCTTTTGAGTTGGGCGAAGCCAGGGACCGCGGAATTGATGCAAAATCAACATAAGGGAATCCGAATATTACGGTCCCGATCTTCCCCTCCCCCTTGGGAGGTAAAGGGGGGGGGGGAGGGTGTCACGATCCTGATAGTCTAGGTTCTTGATCGAATTGCAATTGGACGTATTTATGCTAAAAGGAACTATCTGCATAGGGTTTGCGTGAGACATAGTTCCTTTTGGCATTAATACGTTCAATTCATTTGCATCAGCCTTAAAAAGAACGGAAAATTTCTCAAATAATTAAAGCGCTGGGTGCAGAAAGGGCATTTCATGATCATGATGTCTCACAATCTCCGCTATCGTTTCATCCATTAAGATTAAAGAAAATTGGTATTTTTTGAAACTTTTACCGAATTTTCCTTGTGATTTTATGATGCTGCAAACGAAAAATTCCAGAAAATTTACCCGATAGTTTCTTCTCAAAAATATGAAATTGCAATGGGGGTACTGAAACACCGTAACTAAAAAATGCCATTTCTGCATCTAACGCCCCAATTGACGCCTAAATATCCAAAATCGGCCCACTCTAGGCCCAAAAATGGATGTATTTCTGTCGAACGGAACTATATGTGCATTATGACGTGAACCTTGTTATGCATATATTCTTAGGATCTCAGGGCTCATGTCTTAATGCACATAGTTCCGTTTAGCAGAAATACGTTTAAATGGTCCTCTATAAAGAGGCATAGTGCCATATCCGCAATTTTTTTCAAATAATGAACCAGGAATAGTAGTTTCTTATCGCCAAATGCAATCAAAATATAGTCCCTGATTAAAAAAATAATGAATGAAACTCACTTAAAAATTGGAGGGCGAACATGGTGCCGAATCCAGCCATAATGGCTAGGAGCTGGAGAAGGCCGGACTGGGTGTTGGCGCGCTCCCTCTGGAGGACCTCGAAGAAGACGACGTAGAGGAGGGTGCCGGCAGCCATGCCCTGGAGCAGCGTGGTGGTGAGCCCGCCGTCGCTGGCCTCGCCATGGTACGTCGAGAGAGCGATGCCGGCCCCAATCCCGATCGGCGTCACGACGGCGAACGTGGCGACGTACACGACGAGCAAGGACAGGCGCGTCTTGGACGAGACCAGCTCGACGCCCACGCAGAAGGCGATCACGAACTTGTGCGTGGCGATGGCGATGAAGAGGTACCAGACGTTCTTCTTGCTCTTCTCCAGGCCCACGGCCAGGCCCTCGAAGATCTCGTGGAAGGACAGCGCCAGGACGGCCAGGAGCCCCCGGAAGGACTTGGCCACCACCTCCGTCGTGTCGTACGACGTGTTCCCGGAGACGTTGTCCTCGATGTCCACGCTCGAGGGCGCGACGTGCGAGTGCGAGTGGTGGTGGTGCGTCTTGAACGGGACGTTCACCATCCGTGTCTCCGCGTCCAGCGGCGACGTCATCTTCGATTTGGACGTGATCGTCGATAGCTGGGTGTTGTCGAGGAGCCCCTGCGTGCTCGTCGTTATGCTCCCGTTGATCATGACCCCCATCTGGTCCGGGTCCACCGGCTTGCTCGTCAAGGAGACCCTCGGGATGAGCGTGCCGTTCCCCTCGCCGTGCTGCCCGCACTTCTCGCCGCTGAGCCGCCGACAGCACTTGCGCAGGGACATCGTCCGGTGCAGCACGGCCTCGTCCTCCTGCTCGTTGGACTTCCAGTCCAGGATCACGTGCACCAACTCCTCGACGATGTACACGAAGAAGAATCCCATGCAGAAGATGAGGTCGGCGATGTTGACGTTGTTCTCGACGAGGAACTCCGGGAGCATGTGGGATGCCTTCAGGTGGTCTATCGAGTCCCGCACTTCCGGTTGCAGGTGGAGGAAAGTGGTGAAGAGCAGGACGCCGCCGCCGAAACACAGGAGGAGGGACACGGCCAGCGAGGAGCTTTGGGCGTGATGATGGTCGTGGAGCTTTGTCGGTGACGGCGGTTTGCTCCTGAGGAGCTGCGATAGTTTAACTGGGATTATGCCTAGGACGAAGGAGCCGAAACCCAGGATGAGCATGGTGACGACTTTGGCCCACATGAGCTGGTAGGCGGTGACGCTGGGGTCCACGGGTACGGCCGTGGTTACCGGTATGACCGTCGTTACTTTCGACATCTTGGCTGATTAATTACGTGCTTCCGCGTGATCTTGGAGAGTGAGATTCTGGGCTGCCTTCACAAGGTCAAGTTTCACGCCGGGCAATGCATTGTTGTATGCTAATCAAAACTCGAGTGGTCGCTGGTTCTTGAGGAAGAAACGGAAGTCACTGGAACCGTTTTTTTCTCGTCTTGAGCATTGTAGGTATGTGAGAATTTGCCGCAAAGCGTCACCTATCTTGGAGCAAATTTGTCAACATTGAAAATGAACACTCACTGCGCCAAGATTTTGATTTTTTCCAAAATAAAATGATCCTGCCCTCACATTACTGAAGACATAGTCGGAAGTATGTAGATTTTTTATTTCAAATTAATGTGCTGTCTTTACTGTGGCGAGCGTCTTGAAGGGGTCTTCAGCGACGACGGAAAATAATATAAACTATGAACGAGGGGTCACTATCAAATTATTCACCACATACTTATGAAAAACATCCACGAAATATTTTTGTTTTGAAATTGCACGTGCGGCTACGGAAACGCAATCTTTTTGAAAATTTGTAATTTTAACTCTACGGCTGAATAAAGATAAGTTTGTGTCGTTTTGATAAAATTAAAATAGAAATTAACTTCAATCCAAATGTATCAGGGCATTTGGGTATTTTTAGCGCATGAGTTTGACTTGATAGGTGCAATAAACGCGACGCGTTAAAAGAGTAAAACAGGAAAAACCAAATATCATTCAAATATCACAAATACTTTCGTTTAAAACGTGCGGTTGGTTTTTTTTTTTTTTTTTTTTTTTTTTTTTTTCACGTGCTCATTGTAATTTTCAAATCAAAGAACACAGCACTTCAGCACAAATACTAACACCGCCTGTTCAAACAGGACTCAGAATTCAATACGCTCACATGAACGTTGGAAAAAGCCGGTCGAGGAATGATATGTCATTTCTCACGCACAAAACGAACCGTATGAATCTTAGCCGTTGAGATTCTCGGTTTAACGCACAACTCTGCTGTTTGGCACGCGCACGTTGGAATTTATTGTGAGCACGCGGACCCGGAATTCAAGCCGAGCTTCGAACCGCGGACCGTCTCGCTTTGACGTCGAAACGCTACTGAGGCAGCGCTGGAGACGCTGTCTGCTCCAAGCTCCGAGCGGCCGTACAGCATTTTCACCTCACCCAGCCACCCCCCCCTCCCATGGCGCCCCCCCTTCTTAGAGGGGGACCCTCGGTCACTTTACTCGTGTTTACTTGATTGCCTCCCCACCATTTTAGTAGTAGTCTTGTTTTATTCTTTTTACTTTCGGTGTTTATTTTTTTTTCCTGGGTCATCTCTCAGTGACCAGCGTTGCCGGCCGGGATTGGAGAGAGCTACGTGCACGGAGAGATTGGTTTTTGAGCGGTCAGGCTGGTGTTATCATCGGGAAGGATCGGGTGTTTTCCTGTTACTAAAATTTTGAACCTGTCCCGGCACGGACAGAAATTCCTACTGATGAAAACCCTCCATAATGTATGCCAGGCACCTTTTCCAATGGTTTACTCCCCAAGGAGCATATATTGCAATAAATTGCAATTACATGGTATAATTATTGCTACTGTATCAGCGTGTTGTGTAGGTTGCCTATCTACTGATTGAAGGCACACGGCTCATTGAAATTGATCGCAATAAAATGGAAATAAGTTGCAATTTTTCATTGCACTGAATATTGTTTATTTTTCTGATACATGGAACTCACTTGACTGATTTTTTAAAATCGGCATTTAAGGACCAAATAATGATGCAAAAATATTGCAATTCCATGGTAAAAAATTGCAATTTTATTGCAATATTTTCGTTGCATTGTATCAAAGACCTGACAGGCACCTGAAAGTAAAAATAAAGTTGGCCTGACTACACCTTCTTCGCATATATTTTTGAAAAGAACTCACCAACGTTTTATTTTCATTGCCCTCTGTAATCTGTTATTTATCCTAGGTAGGCCTCATAGTGTCACACTGTATTTCACCGCGGCGGAGGTGTTAGACTTGATTCCCCTCATTCGTCAGTTACCTGTCGGAGACATCTTCACCCTCTTCCTTCCCAGATGCCAGACGGAATTCGTGAACACTTTTAACCCCGTACTACTCATATATAAGTAAAATAAATAGGTGATAAGACTCCATAACTATAGTGTTAACGTCCGCATATAACACGATAAAATTTTACCATATATATTCGACTTTGGGATGTTTATCTCAATATTATGAGATCGGCGCTTTCTGTTCGTTCAAATCTGGCAGCAAAGCAAGGCTCTAGGACCCTCCTGCTCAGTAAGACGAGAAGGCGCTATAAACACAAAGATCGCACGAGAATGAAGACGGATGAAGGGGCCGTCAGGCCATTGTTTTTCTCCTGTCATCTGTTGCTTCGTCTTTGCGTAAGGCGATTTTTATGAATGGATCGCGATCGGGCTTCTACATTGTCAGCCGCAGCATCGTACGCCAAACTTGGGTCTGGCTCGGACGGGAAGTTGGAGGTTACGTCGCGTCGAATTGTGGATTCGATTGATCGTGTCCATTCGAAGGGAAAGTTCAGTTAAGGGATAGAGACAATACAAGCGATATGGAAATACAGAATACGCGGTGAACCTGCTTGTAACGGAACCTTCTTTTAGCGGGAAACCAGTAATGGAGAATTTGCGTGCAAATGTTTTATTGCTTCATCTGAAAGTGCTTAAAGAGCTGATTTCACAGTATTTTTTGTGATTTTTTTCTGACATGATAAATAGTATAAAAATAGATTTAAAAGTGAGAAGGTTCACCGCCTAGTAACGTCATCGGGCGGCATTTCCCATTTAAACACCTGTTTTTTAGCATATTAGATCATTTCGTCATATCTTCTCCAATAATTGCTCAATTCATGAACCAAGGGTATCCTCGTGTTCAGTTTACTCAGTAGTTTCCACTTGGAGACGAAATTCATTAAATTTCAGACACCTGAAAATTCTCTATTATGGCAATTTTTCCCACACATTAATGAAACACATTATGGGATGAAAATTATTTAGGTTAATCTGCTTAAATTTAAACCATGCTGTTGACGTAGATATCTCTGCCCCGAGAGATTCCTTCATGACCGCGTATATCATTGTACCAATCCTGATGACTCTGTATTTCCAACTAAATGCTTGCCGCAAGGATTTGGGATTCAAGTATTGACCATTTGCGAAAATTTCAAGAGAAACGCGACAAGATCACTTCTTCAATCTAGATTGATATCCCAAATTTTCAAAAAAGCTCTCAACGCTGAGGTCGAAATGGGAAGCTTCATCCTTGTTACGAGAGGAGTCCTGCCTTCATATATCCAGTCGAAGGCTCCATGTGCATTGTGCAGATAAGGAGCAAATACATTGGCACGATTGCCACTATATGTGCGAACTCCAAGGCTTCGCTACGGCAAACCCTCCTTATGTATTCGCTCCTGATCTGTGAATGGAGTGTGACTGCAAGTAGAGGTGGACACTCTCATAGCGTAGTAGGTCCCCTCCATTACGGCCTCAATTATCAAGAGTTTTTTTTTTTTTTTTTTTTTTTTTTTTTTTTAAATTTAGTCCAGGAATTAGTTTTGGAGAAAAACAAACAACATCGTGTTTCTCGCAAAATTGTTCATTGTATAGGTTACCTAAAGGGAAATTCTTATTGCATGAAAGGACTACATTAGTCAAATCGCAAAGTACCAGGCCTTTGTCGGCGCTTAGTGTAACAACTAAAACAAACTTATATTTTTCTTGCTCCAAAATCACTCAATGACCATCGCGTGCGAGGAGAGCAAAAGAGAAAAAGAAGTTCAAGTTGGCTGAATTTTACAACCCTTAGCAAAACTTACAACTTTCGTGCGTTGACAAGGGTTTCTAAATTTTTTTTTATCAGTTTGGTAAATGGGGCACGTGGAAGTTCCATTAACGTAGTGAACGATGATGGGGAAACTTAGCGTTTATTAGGAAAAGTTCTCTACAAGTTGGAGTCATTAGGAGACGGGCGGATGTGACAGTCGTTCAAGTGGACGCCTTATGACTAATGAGGGAACAAGGCCTCTGTTCTGCCTAAGCGCGACAATCCGTGACGTAAATGCCATTGTCACAAAGTTTGATTTACCTTTGCGCCCGCGTCCAGGAGAGCGCCGCGCCGTTGCAAAATGAAACTCCCTATTTTTATTATTCAGAGATGGCAGAATTTATTTCATTCTGCGAAAATACCAATCAAACTTCGTTCAGGAGCTATTTCAGAAGTTGGAAATCTGAAAATCCAAAAAAGCCTGAAATTCGTTGACTAATCAGAAATCGGCACTTTTTGTGTAGTAATGATTGAGATGGCAACAATATATCTGTACATAACTACTCTCCTATTCAGTTGCTGCAACTAACGAGAACTCCCGTGCATTCGTGAAGAGGTGAGAAAAGCGAGAGTGCCTTCAAATTTTCACACGCAACACGCACACCCATGGGACACGAATAGTTGCATCAAGGCGCCGCAACCAACTCAGATCAAAATACCTCGTACAGGCCAAGGTAATCACTGATTTGAAACGGACTTTCAGAAAAAACAAGTGCCAAAAATTAAAATGCAAGAAAAACAGGGAAAACATTTTAATAGACTCGTTCTAAGTTTCAGAGCGATGAATTAACTTTTCACATCAATTTGAAGCGGGTTGGTTATTACGGTTTCTAATGTTTTTCTCGTGTTTTCAGTTCTGACGCTGAAGTTTCTTCAAGAATGGCCGATTTTATTATAGACTTTGGATACTATGACATAGTGTCACGAACTGGTAATACTTTTCCTATTTAGATACAACTAAATTGCTACAACTGACGAGTTCCGTACATCTCTGAAGAAGTGAGAAAAGCGAAAGTGCCTTCAATTGTAAACATGCAACACGCACATCCGTGGGACACGAATAGTGGCATCAAGGCGCTACAGTCAGCTTAGTCTAGTTCTTTTGAAGCGGCAACGCCTTCAATTTTTGAATGCGCAAAACGCACATCCAAGACACTGAAAATATAAACAAAATTCAAACTCTTTAAGTTGTTTTAAAACCTCTGAGGAAAATAATAAAAATAAGTTGCAAAATTTATTTACGTTGTCTGTTAATTGTTTTGATACTTTTTAAGATTCGTTCCGAACCTTTCAAGTCATCGGTGGCGGACCAGTGTTCGGACGTGTTTTTCATTTGTATTCATTTGTGAGATGTTACCGTCCAAACTTAAAAGTCTTAGAAAAATGCAATGAGATTCAAAAATTTCCATGATATGCATCATTACATTGTGGCATGTGAATAAAAGAAAATGACGTAAAAATGTCTGACTTAATGATTTCTTAGCTCTATTCCCAATGAAAAGAGAAATGAAACCATCCTAACTTCAAAACTTCAAATTCTTCCAAGGAGTGGAACTGAGGGGAGAGGGGTGGGGATGATAACCTCCCGGTGAGTTGCTTTTATCTCAGTTGGCAGTAGGCATGAAATGTTCCGCCCGTAATTTGAAACCGAGGAAATATGAAAAGTTTGCCACTTCTCGTTTTCCTGCTCGGAAAAGCTGCACTGATACACTTATTTAAGAATTCTCGAGCCCTCTGTTACATTTGGCCGATTGTGAACTACATAATGCAATTTACATTGAAACTTTTGAGAGGATAGTTTCGTTATCAACTGCAGAGAGGCTACAAAAAGTAAACATAAGTTTTCACCACTTAGTCTTCTCTCTAACAGAAGCTTCTATGCTGAACTAAAAGCACCATTGATAACATCATTCACTTCAAAAGCGGTTTGGTGCTGTGTCTTTTGGCCTTAATTGTTTCGATAATCTTCCTAATACAGCATTATTTTATCGTTAGTCTAATTCACCTTGATATCAAATACGAGAATTAGATAAATATAGACATTGTCTAGTTTCGACTCATACGCTATTCCTTTACCAGAAGACTATGCAACATTTCGACTTGAAATTTTGTAAGAACTTATATTCTCCATAAACTGAGAGAATTCAGACATTTTTTCAAAGCGTCATATCGGTCAGTTATTTGTTGAAAAAAATGAAGCATGAGCCGCAGTTACGCGACATGAAATGCGGTTAGGCTCCTCTGGTTGAATCCATTCAAATCA